ATGTAATATAGATAGCTAGTGGGAAGCAACTGCATTGCACAGGGAGATCAGCTCGGTGCTTTGTGACCACCTAGAGGGGTGGGATAGGGAGGGTGGGAGGGAGACGCAAGAGGGAGGAGATATGGGGATATATGTATGCATATAGCTGATTCAATTCAAGCAGAAACTAACACATCATTGCAAAGCAATTATACTCCAATAAAGATGTTAAAACAAAAAAAAACTAACATGTGTAACATACAACAGTGTTCATTATATTTATCATGTTGTACATCACATCTCCAGTACTTATTTACCTTATAATTGGAAGTTTTTACTGTTTGACTGCCTTCATCCACTTCCCCCTCCTCGCACACCCAGCTCTTGCAACCACAAATACCGTTCCTTTTTTTATGAGTTTGTTTTTGAAGTATAATTGACCTACACCACTATGTTAGTTCCTGTTATGTTACACATCACAGTGATGTCTATACATTTCAAACTGATCACCACGGTGTCTAGTTATGATATGCCACAAAACAAAGATACTACATAGTTACTGACTATATTCCCCACACTGTTCAACTCATACCTGCGACTCATTTATTCTGCAATTGGAAGTTTTCACCTCTTAGTCCCCCTAACTTATTTTTTTCCTCCCCCAACCCCCTCCCCTCAGGCTAACACTTGTTTGTTCTCTGTATCTATAATTGTTTCTCTTTTATGTTTGTTCATTTTTTTTAAGATTCCACATATAAGTGAAATCATACAGTACTTGTCTTCCTTTGTGACTTGATGACTATCTTTAGTGTTATGTTTGGATTCCTTTCTCTTTTTTGTTTGTATATTATAGATTTTTGGTTTGTGGATACCATGAGGTTTATGTACATGTGACTCTACATGTGACTGTTTTAAGTTGCTGATTTCTTAAGTTCAACTGCATTTTAACAACTCTTCATTTTTACTCCACTCCCCCCCAATGTTTACTATTTTTGACATGTATTTTTTTGTTTTGTATACCCCTTAAATATTGAGGATATAGATGAGTTTACTACTTTTGTCTTTTAATCTCCTTTCATACATGCTTGACTACCTTTACTGTATATTTGCCTTTACCAATGAGCTTTTTCCTTTTGTAACTTTCCTGTTTCTAGCTGTGGCCTTTTCTTTTTCATTTAGAGAAGTCCCTGTAGCATTTCTTGTAAAGCTGGTTTGGTGGTGCTGAACTCTTTCAGCTTTTGCTTGTCTGCAAAACTTGATCTATCAAATCTGAATGAAAGCCTTGCCAGGTAGAGTATTTTTGGTTATAGGTTTTTCCCTTTCATTGTTTTGAATACATCATGCCATTCTGTTCTGGCCTGCAGAGTTTCTGCTGAAAAGTCAGCTGATAGCTTTATGGGAGTTCCCTTGTAGTATGTAACTTGTAGATTTTCCGTCGATGCTTTTTTTTTTTTTTTAAACAGATTCCTTCCTTCCTCCTTCCCTCCCTCCCTGCTATTTTTTTAGATGCGTCACACGGCATGAGGGATCAGATCCCTGACCAGGGATTGAACCCATGCCCCCTGCAGTGGAAGCATGGAGTCTTAAGCACTGGACTGCCAGGGAAGTCCCTCCCTAGATGTTTTTAATATTCTCTTTTTATCTTTAATTTTTGTCATTTTAATTACGTGTCTTAGTGTGGTTCTCTTTGGGTTGATCCTGTTTGAGACTCTCTGCTTCCTGGACCTGGATGTCTGTTTCCTTTCTCAAGTTAGGGAATTTTTTAGCTATTCTGTCTTACAATATGATCTTTGCTCTTGTTCTCCCTTCTCCTTCTGGGACCCCTATAATGTGAATGTTAGTATGCCTGATGTTGTCCCAGAGGTCTCTTTAAACTGTCCTCATTTCTTTTTATTCTTTTTTCTGTTCAGCATCAGTGATTTCCACTCTGTTTTCCAGTTTGCTGACTCATTCCTCCATATCATTTAATCTTCTGTTGATTCCTTCTAGTGCACTTTTCATTTTAGTTACTGTATCCTTCATCTCTGTTTGGTTCTTCTTTATATTTTCTAACTCTGTGTTAAAAACTTCTAACTTCTCATTCTGTTCATACAATCTCCTCCTGAGTTCTTTGAACATCTTTACGATCATTAACTTGAACGTTTTATCAGATATATTGCCTATCTCCACTTCACTTAGCTCTTCTGGGGTTTTATTTTGCTGCTTTGTTTGGAACATATTCCTGTGTTACCTCATCTTGCCTAACTTGCTGTTTTTATTTCTGTGTTATGTGGTCGATTGGTTACATTTCCTGACTTTGGAGAGTTGGCCTTTCATAGGAGACATCCTATGCATCTCAGCAGCACACTCCCCTCTGGTCACCAGAGCTATATGCTCTAGGAGTGCCCCCTATGTGGGCTGTGTGGGTCCTCCTGTTGTGGCAGGCTGAGTACTGTGGGAGGTCTGGTAGTGTGGCTGGCCCCCGGTCTGGTTGGTTGCCAGGTGCTGGTTAGCAGGGCCAGGTCATGAAGTGCTTGCTGTCGAGTCCCAGGCATCACAGGGCTAGTGCTGGCCCACTGGTGGGTGGAGCTAGGTTCTGGGATTGGTGGTTGTGGGGCTGAGGTTCCCAGATCTAGTGTCAGCCTCCTGGTGGGTGGGCTCGTTCTTGACATGGCTGGTTGTGGGTTCTGGGGTGTCCCAAAGCTGGTGCTGACTTGCTGGTGAGTTGGGCTAGATCCTAGAACAGATGGCTGAGGAGTCCAAGGTTTCTCTGAGCTGGTGTCAGCCTGCTGGTGGGTAAGCTGGATCCTGGGGCTGCTGGATGAGGGGCCCAAGGTGTCACAGAGCTGGTGTTGGCCTGCTGGTAGGTGGGCTGGGTCCTGACATAGGTTGGGCTAAGGGGCTGCAGTGGTCCTGGGCTTGGTGTCTGCATGCTTGAGGGGGAAGCCGGGTCTTGGGGCTAGTGCTGGCCTGCTGCTGGGCAGAGCTGTGTCCCAGGATGTCTGGCTGCACGCCCTGGGGGTCCCAGGGTTGGTAAGATGGTCTGCTGGTGGACGGGGCCCAGGCTGCAGCCCAGGTGATCATGGGTCTGATGTATGTCCACTGGTGGATGAGGCTGGTCCAGGGTCTAGCACTGGTGGGCAGGGCCATGTCCCAGGGTGACTGTGGGCTCAATGTGTCTGAAGACAGCAGGCCAGCTGGTGGATGGGGCAGCATCTTCCCCCAGCTGGTTTGGGCTGAGGTGTCCAGTACTGGTGCTGACAGGCTTGTGGGCAGGGCCAGGTCCCGGCGCTAATAAACTTGAAGAAGGATTCCAAAATGGCACTTGCCAGTACCAGTGTCCATGTGGTAGAAGCAGCTCCACAAAATTTTCTGCTGCAATTATTTATGTCCCCAGAGTGAGCTCCAGGTGCCTCCTGCCTCTTGGGGAGGCTCTCCAAGATCAGCAGGTGTGTCTGACCCAGGTTCCTTTCAAATCACTGCTTCTGCCCTGGGTCCTGGCACGTGTGAGATTTTGTGTGCGCCCTTTAAGGGTGGAGTCTCTATTTCCCGCAGTCCTCTGGGTCTCCAGAAAGTAAGCCCCCGTGGTCTTCAAAACCAAACATTCTGGGGGCTCATATTCTTGGTGTAGGACACCCGGACCTGGGGAGCTTGATGTGGGGCTCAGGCTCCTTACTCCTTGAGAAAAGCCTCTGCAGTTGTAATCATCCTTTCATTCATGAGTCACCTACCTGGGCATATGGGTCTTGACTATACCATGTCTCTGCCCTTCCTACCTGTCTCATTGCTGTTCCTTCTTTAGTTGCAGAAGTTCTTTTCTGCTTGTCTTCTGGTCTTTCTCATCAACAGTTACTCTGTAAATAGTTGTAATTTTGTGTGCCCATGAGAGGAGGTGAGCTCAGGGTCTTCCTACTCTGCCATCCTGGCCCCTCCTCAGAGACCTTCTCCATTATGTAAAAGATACATGAGAGTATATGATATTGCAAACCTTGTTGCAAGACATGTAGAAGATGTCTTTTTCTACGATGCAAAAACAAAAAAAGTATTTGTCCTCAAAAGGTTTGCAATCTCTGGAGGTGAAAAACATAAAGTAACCCTAGTAAAAAGGAGTTATGTGTTATAATGTCATTAGACTGGTTTTATAGTACTTCATTCTTCCTTTATTATAGTACTTCTCACATTGTTTTGAAATTTGTCCACTTGTCTATCTTCTTTAGTAAAGTATGAACTGAAGGCAAGAACCATATCTTATTCCTCTCTGTAGCCTACAGACCTAGATTAATGGGTAACCTAGAGGAGGAGCAATAACTATTTGTGTAAAATGAAAGAAACTGATGAATAAGTGAAGAAAATGGCTATGCAATTTAGAGGGCAAGGATCATGTCTGGCTGGGGTGATCGCATAGGGTGAAGTCATTTAAGTTGGATCTTAAAGGATTTAAAGGTGAGAGTCTGAGAAAGGGAATGGGAGCTTAAGGAGGTAGAAAACAGGCAAAAGAAATATAGAGTTGAAAGAGAGATCAGAAGTCTAGTTTTAATATAACCTCCCATTAAATGTGGGCATTTCACCTGTCAAGATGCTGATAAGTGGTTAAGTATCTCATAAAGCGTTCTATTCTGCTTCTTAGATAGTCTAGTTTGATTTGGACAATCTGCCCTAGAACTAGTTTTGATTCTTCTATAAATGAATTCATTTCAGAGTATTGAAGATTATGTAAAATCACTTGGCTTTTTAGGAAGTTAACTTATTTCTCTGACAGGTACTTTTTCCAGTATTTGCTGCTTATGTAATTTAACAAAGTTAAATACTCATGTTTTGGTATGGATCTCAATACCTTGTAACCTACACCTAAGATGTTTTTCTAAAAAATTGTGGTAAAGTACACATAACATAAAATTTACCATCTCAAGAATTTTTAAGGGTATAGTTTAGTGGCTTCAAGCACATTCATATTGTTGTGCTACTATCACCACCATCCACTGGACTCTTTTCATACCAGAGATTTTTAAAACTGAAAAATATAAAATATTATTGCATGCAAAAAAGTCAGATACATTTTTAATAGAGCTATGTACATTTTAAACATGTGACAAAATTCAGACTGGAACTTAAAACCAATTTATTAATTAAACTGTGGTGCTTGGTATTTAACGGTGATTGCACGAACCATGGGCTTTATAAGTCAAAATCTAAGATCTATATAAAAACCTTGTACATTTTTCTCTTAAAATGAGAGATAATTCAAAGTACTAAAAGTTCAATTTTGTAAACCCAGAAAAGATAAGATTTCTGATAGTACAAAAAACTAGACACTCTCCTTTCACTGGATAAATCCTGTGGGAAGTCAAACAGGTGGTAAAGGATCAAACTTTAGCCTATTCCACGCCATCACAGTAGCACTTATTTCTTACCTGTGGGAGCCACCCTTGCCAGAAGAAATGGTTTCAGTTCATTTGGTGGTTCTATTTAACAGGGCAAAGTACGAAGCAGTGGTATTTCCCAATCTCCTGCTAGGACTCCGTTAATTGAAAAGCAGTGCAAGGTAGAATTAGAACCCAGGGTTTTAGGATCTAAGCCCAGTTTTACTTCTAAGAAAAATATTTCTCTAAAATTATAATCCCGATACAATGGCTTCTTCAGTTCAGAATCTTCATCAGAACATTTATTTTTCTCAAACAGTGCCCTCTGCACTTGATTTTGTTTTGAAGCTATTTCGGGAGCAGGTACTGAAGTTTGGGAAACAGTTTCAATGCGTTCTGTGTTGTCACTTCTATAACTTCCTCCACTGAGATCCCTTTCACCTGGGCAATATATTCTGCTGAAATGGAAATGTTTTGGGGCTCATTCCGTACCTGAGACAGACAAAGCAGACATTAATCAAACATGACACTCAAGGAAAGCAATCCTTGAAGACTGTAGATAAAAGAGATGAAAATGAGTTGGTAAAAACAACTGATGAGCTCTTTCTTTTTTTTTTAATGGGGGTGAGGCGAAGCTGAGGAAAAGGCCCTGAACTTCAGCTTGAAAGCTAAGGTTACAACATTAACTGTAAGTCTATCCTGCTCCTGAAAAGAGCCCTGGGGTATTACCAGTCGAGGTCCCAGCACCTAGCATATGAAGCAGTCTGCACAAAGTGGACACTTGGTGACCTGCCTGACTGATGAATTAACTGTGCTTTGGTTTGTTCCTCAAGTGAGTGCTTGCAAAGGTCAAGCTCTGTAGCTTGGCCATTTCAACTCACAGGCTACGTTACAGTTTGACTCAGTAATGCCATGGTGTCTGGAAGACTACACAGATTATGTAGTCATATTTCACTGATTCTAAGATGCATTTCTCCCCTATCTTAACATCTCTGAAATTGACATATATTTTATTTTAATGACATTCAGTGGCATGTGAAAGTATAATTGTAGTGTTTTTTTCCTTAATGGTCACAAAACAGTGGTACATCTACAATCAGTGGCATTTAGATTTGATGAAATATATTATTGTTGTTACTATTAAGTTATCGACTCAGGATGATAGTGTTCAGAGGAATAAGATAACAAGGTTAAAAAATAACCTTGATAACGTAGCCTAAGAAAACAATGAAAAATGCACACCAAGATTTAGGTTCAAGGACATTCATCATATTGTTTATAATACAGTTGACCCCTGAAAAACATGGTTTTGAACTGTGTGGGTCCACTTATACATGGATTTTTTTTTCAATAAATGCTACAGTACTACACAATCCAAGCGTGGTTGAATCTGTGAATGCAGAACCACGAAAATGAGGGCTGAATCCGCAGATGCAAAACTGCAGACGTGGAGGGTGGACAGACATGTATTTTCCATGGTATGGGGCGGGGCTGGGGGGTTGGGGAGGGTGTTGGTACCCCTAAGCACTTCTTGTTCAAGGGTCAACTGTACTGTGTTGGAAACAAATAACCTAAATGACAGTATCAAGTTAAATATATCGTGGCACATTCACACACTAAAATTTATATACTTATTAAACATGATGAGGAAAAGTATATTTATTGATATTTACATGTGTTCACCACATAAAAGCAAGTTATGGGGGCTTCCCTGGTGGCGCAGTGGTTGAGAGTCCGCCTGCCAACGCAGGGGACACGGGTTCATGCCCCGGTCCGGGAGGATCCCACATGCCGCGGAGCGGCTGGGCCCGTGAGCCATGGCCGCTGAGCCTGCGCGTCCGGAGCCTGTGCTCCACAACGGGAGAGGCCCACGTACCAAAAAAAAAAAAAAAAAAAAAAAAGCAAGTTATGAAATGATGTGTTGAGGCTAATCCTATTTTTATGAAAAAAATATTATGTATACATATATGGACATAAAGAAGTGTGGAAGGACATAAGAACCTTCATTTATTTAGTGCTTGTTGTAGGCAAGGTTTTGTTCTAAGGTTTTCATGGAATTTCTCATTTAATCCTCAAAATAACTCTGTGAGATAGGTACTATTATTATTAGCATCCCTTTTTTACAGATAAGAAGGGATCCTAAACAGCGAGTAAGTAGCCCAGTTGAGGTTTAAACCTGTGCAAGCTGACATCAGAGTTTATGCTTTTAACCACTATACTATAGTGGTAACCTTTCAGTGGTAGATGGTTCTATTTTCTTATGATTTTCTGTTTTCTATTTTTCTAGAACAAACACATTTTACTTAACAAAAAGCATATTCAGTTTTATTTTTTTTATTTTTATTTTTTGGCTGCGCTGTGTGGCATGCAGGATCTTAGTTCCCCGACCAGGGATTGAACCCGTGCCCCCTGCAGTGGAAGTGCAGATTTCTAATCACTGGACCGCCAGGGAATTCCTCAGTTTTAAAATTCATTTATTCAATAAATGTTTTTGAGTACCTACTATGTGCAAGGCACTATGCCAGAAATCCACAATTTTTATCAAATTATCTAAATACAAACATAAAACTGAGTTATAAGAGCATTTGAAATTCGTTTCTGTTTAGGGTGAAAAAGCTAGGTCATTTTCATCCTATTTCACACTAACCAGGAAGGCAATTTTGTACCATTCTGTCCTACAGTCAAACAAGAAAATAAATGTGGTTATAATCCTCTATTTTCTCATTCCTCTTCTACATTCTTTTCTTTTTTTTTTGCAGTACGCGGGCCTCTCACTGTTGTGGCCTCTCCCGTTGCGGAGCACAGGCTCCGGACGTGCAGGCTCAGCGGCCATGGCTCACGGACCCAGCCGCTCCGCGGCATGTGGGATTTTCCCGGACCGGGGCACGAACCCGTGTCCCCTGCATTGGCAGGCGGACTCTCAACCACTGTGCCACCAGGGAAGCCCTAGGCACTTTCATATACATTACTTCATTTAATCCCCACTGTAATACTTCAAAATATTTTACTATTATTTTACCCACATTTTATAAATGTAGAAACAGTTTCAGAGAGATTAAGGAACTTGCCCAAAGTTATACAGCTAGTGGGTATCAGAGACAGGATTTGAATCCAGCCCTTTCTGCCTCTAGACACTAAGCTTTTTACTATACTGGTCTGGATTTCAATATTACATAAATTAGGACATGACCCATATCAAATAATATTCTGTGTAGCACAACAGCCATATTTACAAAAGACTTGAAATTAAGTCAATATAACCTTTCAACCTAGCATTAAAGTAGGATCCCATTATATTTACACTGGAATGAGAAACACAGCTAAACTGAAAATAGTTCAAATAAAAGACACAATCTAAATAATGTAGAAATTAGAAAATCATTTACCTTTTTTTCTGGCCCTAGCGCAGGTGAATCTGTTTCCAAGCAAATCGAAGTTAAAGGCAACTGTTTAACAAGTTTCTGCTTCTTAGAGAAAAGAGAAAGCTAGTAAGTTTAAAACATGAGAAGTAAAGATTAAATAAGTAGCATTAAACCCACATGTCAATGCATACTACTCTGCAAGAATCTAAAATTCATACTTTAATATTCAATTAATAAATGTTCACTATGTTCTCATCATTCTACATTAATGGTTAGATTTAAGAAGAAATATTCTTTGCCAAAAATTATCCAAAGCCTCTAGGAACCCAAAGAGTAGTAACCAAGAACAAAAAATGAGGTAACATCCAACAAGAACCAAAACATCTGATATCATATGCCTACTGAAAGATCCAAGGAAGAGTGACTTCCCTGGTGGCATAGTGGTTAAGAATCCACTTGCCAATGCAGGGGACACGGGTTCGAGCCCTGGGCTGGGAAGATCCCACATGCCATGGAGCAACTAAGCCCATGAGCCACAACTACTGAGCCCACCTGCCACAACTACTGAAGCCCGCGTACCTAGAGCTCGTGCTCTGCAACAAGAGAAGCCACCCAATGAGAAGTCTATGCACCACAATGAAGAGTAGCCTCTGCTCCCCTCAACTAGAGAAAGCCCGCGCACAGCAACGAAGACCCAACACCCAAAGATAAATAAATTAAATAAATAAATAAATAAGAAATTTCTCCACAAATGATAAAAGTAGGAAAAATAAAAGTAATCATGGACTATCAATTAACATGACCTAATTGACATTTCTAGAACTTTCCACCTGAAACCGTATATAAGGCCCAGTGTCCCTGTATTTTGAAGTAAATGCTTTTGCTTCAAGTCTCCCAGGCCTCCCCTGGGCCTCAAAAGGCTGGTTCAAGAATTAGTGATTAGGAAATGTGAAGATGTAGGAGCAATGAATAGCTGTTGGGTCGGAAAACTGGTAACAACTTAGACTATGAATTCGCCACATAGCAGAGTCACCAAATTCCCAGTTCCCTGAAAGTTATAGATAGAGGCCTGACACACACTCCTAAGCTGTTCTTACAGGAAGCAGACCCCAACCAGATGGAAACTGCTGACCTCAAGCATGTAGACCCCAGACCAGCTGAAACCAGAAGATTGATGATGCTCAAAACTTCACCTTGACGCCAATCAATTCGAGAACTGAGCACAAGCTGCTCACATACCCTGCAGCCTCCTCCCTCACACTGCCTTTAATATCCTTTTTCTGAAAGCTATCAGAAGTTCAGGTCTTTTGAGTATGAGCTGCCCAATTTTTTGTTAGTGGAAGTTTATTTTTTTTGTGAGTGGAAGTTTATTTTGATGATATCCAATTTATCTATTTTTTCTTTGGTTGCTTGTGCCTTTGGTGTCATAGCTAAGAAACCACTGCCTGATCCAAGGTCACAATGATTTAGATCTGTTTTCTTCTAAGAGTTTTATAATTTTAGCTCTTATACTTAGGACTCTGATCCACTTTTGAGTTACTCTTTATATGAGGTAGGGACCTAAGATTAATTTTTGCAATGAAACCAGAATAGTATCACAAGTATATAATAAAAGTTCATATTTCAGAGTATATTTCACAAAGTATAAAATGAGGTTTAATGAAAGAATTTACCTGTCCACTTCTTATGATAGAAGGAGGAATTGAGAAGAAGTACCCAGCTTTTACTCCTTCCATGGCTACAGATGGCCGACCATCAAATGCATGCAGCAACACTTTGTCAGCACCTCTCAAAAATTAAAGATAAATCACAGTTCCATTTTATTTCCTTAATGAGAGGTTTTACCACTAATCAAACTGAACAACACAGATTTTAAGTAAATGTCGGTCACTATAAGGTTCTATGATTTCTAAAGAGTAGATAAACATATAGTGTTCAACCAGTAGAATAAAAATATAGCAAATTCTTAATCTTCAGAATAAAATTAATAAATATAATTTAAGCAATTATTTAAACTTCCTATACCATCAAACCTTCTCCAAATCTTCAGAATAAAATTAATAAATATAATTTAAGCAATTATTTAAACTTCCTATACCATCAAACCTTCTCCAAAAGTTTCTGAACTGTCAAATTATTGTTCCTAATAGGTTTTTGAGCAAATTGTCCTTAAGAAGGATGCTAGTGAAAGAAGAAATGAGGAAATAAATGACTCACAAATTCAACACTCAGAGTTAGTTTCACAAAAACCATCTCCAGTTCTTAAAGGATGGCTGCTCACCCTGCACAAAAATCACATTCTCGGTGAATCCAGGGGGACTCAGTACTCATCACTGAGAAATACAGTGCTTTCTAGTTGTAGGCAATTATGTTTACTTCACTATTTGATACTGTTGGTAGGTGTGACATTTAGTGAGTTACTACTGTGAATTATGAAATCAAATTAGTGGGTCACGACTGGCCAGTGTGTGCTTATATATTTGTGTGCATAAACACACGCACACACACATATCTATACACACATACATATAGATGTACTGCTGCTTGAACTTTTGTCAGTTTTCTGTATATGTATATACTGAGTTTCGAAATAAAGTCAGTGCCAAAAACAGTATGTGTGTGTATATATCGAGTTTCAAAATACAGTATATTTCTTACCGTGGACAGCACTTTAAAAATTTGAAAAGTAATCCTATAAGAAGTATTTTTTCTTTAGGAACAACTGGTGAAGATGACAGTGCATTTTATATAAGATGGCCACAATCTGTATAATACCATTTTCTAAAGCAGCAGCCATAAAACATGCAAAACAGTAACTCAATGTGATCACCCTTCTTTGCTTTGTTTTTTCCTCTCTCACATACGCTGACTAAAATGTTGGAGCTGCTAATTTTCAAATTAAGGCATTAAAATTACTTGATCCAATTTTTCATTTGCTTTATCCTGGCCTGATAAACATCATAATCACACTGAAAACCTTGTAAATAGTAGGCTGACTTGCAAAACCATCTTAGTTGATTTCCATCTCTACCTTTGACCCATTCCCTTCCCTTTAAGAAATCAAGTAAAGCATGGCTTGTTCTACTGGGAATATGGACTGGAATTGTCAAACTTAAACATTAGGCACATTTTTCTCAGGAACCTAAATACCTTGCTCATTTAAGAGGCTGATGGTGGGTCTTCCAGCTGAACGTGAGTGAACATTTCTGGTAAACAAAAAAAAAATTCCTTTTGAGTACTTAATATGAAATTATTATTTTTGTTATATTAAAGCAATTCAGAGAAAAAGAAAAGTAGAGCTCAATTTCAAGAGAATCATTACTTAATTTGCTCTGTAACTATTAATATAGAAAGATGATAATTAACCTACAAAGGCAAATTTAGTCTTTTGGCTAATTGGACCTGTCTGATTAGGACTTGTCTTTGCTCTTCCTTCTGTTCATCAGTGCCAGCAATTCTGGGGGAGAAATCTAGTCCAACCTATAATGGAAAAATAAAACAGAATTACATGTTTATGGTTTAATGAATCCCCGAAGACATATTATGGTACAGTACAGTCCAAGAGAAATATAATGGGAGCCACACACATAAGCCACATACACAACCTTACAGTTTCCAGTAGCTACATTAAAAACACTAACAAGAAACAGGTGAAATTAATTTTAATGATATATTTAATCCACTATATCTAAAACATTATCAATATTATCATATAGTCATATTATTATGTCAACACATAATCAATAAAAAAAAATTATTGAGTTATTTTACATTCCTTTTTTGAGGTATTGAGACTTTGAAATCCTCAGTGCATTTTATCCTGATAGCACATCTCAGTTTGGGCCAGTCACATTTCAAGTGCTCAACAGCTGCATGTGGTAACCACACTGGACAGTGAAGATTATAAATGACTGCTTCCCTTGATTCTATTCTGGCATGCATCGTGATAACCTAGATTCTGAATGTAAGTGCTATTCTTATTTTTTATCTTTAATTATAAGTGGAATTACCAAGTGATACGATGTTTCACAGCTGTAAATTATTTAATAAAAATGTTCTTTAATTATAAACTCTAACCTATTTAAAGTATGCTTGTATATACTATTTTAACTAACCAGAGAGATAACCCTATGTAAGCAAAAGGAAAAAAAGAGGAAAGTACATTGAAATGGTAATAGTTTTCTTTCATTAACATAAGCCCATGGGGAGACTTCTATTGTTTTATCCCTAAGCACTTTTGATTATTGAGGAAGTACTGACAAAGTATTATTCAGCTGAACAGGGTGAACATAATTATCCAAGTCTGTTATAATCACTAATACTGAATTAAGGACTATTTTCATCTATCACATGAAAGTCTGGATTAGAAATCACTTGATCAGCTAGTGGGTATTTACCTCTCCAATTGCCAACAATCGATCCTTATAATTCTCGATAATGGGCAAAGCTACATCCAAATCCTGGGATGAAAAAAAAGTAAATTTATTAAAATAGGAGAAGGGACTTTTATAGGTTTTGTATAAACACCCATTATATGCCAGGCACTATGCTATACTGGGTCCTTTACATAGTCAATACCTTTTAACCAGTTGAGGAACTAAGAATGTAATCCTTCTATAATGGTGAGTACTTCTGTCCGGAAATTTGAGTACAAACATCCCACATCCATTTATGTTACAAGAACATGACTTCCTTTTTTAAAAAGTATTTATTTATTATTTGGCTGTGCCGGGTCATAGTTGCGGCATACAGGATCTTCGCTGCTGTGTGCGGGATCTTCATTGGGGCATGCAGGATCTTTTAGTTGTGGCATGCGGAATCTTTAGTTGCGGCAGGGGAACTCTTAGTTGTGGCATGTGGGACCTAGTTCCTTGACCAGGGATTGAACCCGGGCCCCCTGTATTGGGAGCGCAGAGTCTTAGCCACTGGACCACTAGGGAAGTCCCAAGAACATAACTTCTTACGAAGATTCCCACTTAAACCCTTCCTTCTGTTCAGGAGGCATTTCCTGGCATTTAGGAGGAGTGAACTGGATTTCCTGGAATAGCTGAGCAAGAGAGAAGAAAGCCACCAAGTGGTCACCTTTGAGTTTTGGGGAGTGCACTGCTATGTTCTCCTCTTAGGGTACTGATGCCTTGTGAATTTTTAATAGTGATAATCCCATACATCCTTTGCACTATTTTCACTAATTTCTTTTGTCTTTATAGTCCTGTGTAGCCTATTTTTGTCCTAAAGGTTCAACAATATACATATTAAATACCACAAATATGTTGTTTGCCAACTATTGAAGTAACTGTGTACTGTTAGTTTCCATGATATTACTATTTCCACTTAAAGAGAATTCCCCCTGTGAGGGATCCCTTTAAGACAAGGGAAAGACAAATACGTGGAAAATTTGCTTCTAGATATTTTAAACAACTTTGAGGATTTTAGTCTCAGAATATGTAAATTCAAGGTACTTCTAGTGAGGATAATCAGAACAAGGGAAAATTAAGAAAAGGGAGGTAGGGCTTCCCTGGTGGCGCAGTGGTTGAGAGTCCGCCTGCCGATGCAGGGGACACGGGTTCGTGCCCCGGTCTGGGAGGATCCCACATGCCACGGAGCGGCTGGGCCCATGAGCCATGGCCGCTGAGCCTGCGCGTCCGGAGCCTGTGCTCCGCAGGGGGAAAGGCCACAACAGTGAGAGGCCCACGTATCCTAAGAAAAGGGAGGTAAACCATATGGTAGAGGAAGAAGAGGAGATTTTATAATTATACCTCAAGAGAGAGAAAAGAAGATGAGGAAGGGTAAATCAAGGCCTCAGACATTCCAGTAGACTCAATGAAGAAGAATTAATATTGTCATGTGGAGCTAAGAGTATATAACCCTAAATACCAGAGAAGATGTCTGGCAATAGCTGAGTAGGTCAAAGTGTCAGGCAAAGATTTTCCATATCAAACATCCAAACTACTGTGTGTCTGTGGGACCTCAAAGGGACTGGAGAAGTTGGAGAGATTACTCAGGAAATGTTTGACACTTAGAAAGTCTTCAGTCAGAAAGAAATTACACATTTGGATGAAGACGAGATACAGGGAAAATATGCTTCTTGGAATATGTATTATCTATAAAAAGAAGCAAAATACATTTACAATGAGACTGTTCCCATTCCTCATGAAATATTTTGGAAGTTTCTGGCAAGTCAGGTATAGTAAATAGAAATTAATATAATTCATATCACAGATTCAATATGTATAAATGTATGTGTGGTCTTTATCATTTTAATAGATGTAAAAATATTGATAAGGACATTCATAGGTCTAAAACTGACTTCAGTTCTATTCCCACTTCCTCCATGAAGTCTCAAGTTCTTTAACAGCTAATGGTTCTACTGTAGGGTTTTAAAATATCCTATACCTCTATACCCTATGACTGGGCATACTACAACTAAATAATTATTCATGATTTACAAATGAGGAAATTGAGACTTGGCAAAGTTAAGTGCCACAGATCACAGAAGCCAGTAGGCCAAGTCTCTCTGACTTCAAAGCCCATGCTGTTTCCACTATGCTGTTGAGAGAAGAAAGGAGAGAGAAGGAAAGGATGGAAGAAAGAAGGGCAAGGGGAGGGAGGAGAGCTTTATTCTGAATGATTTAAAATAATTAGAATTGATTTTTTTATTAAAGAAAATGTTTAGTCTTCAGAACCTTTAGAACAGGGGTCAGGCGTGTAACCGAAATGAGTGAAGTGGGTTAAGTAGGGACAGGAGCCAAATGGACAGCATGTGCCCTGCCTGGAGGGGGCAGTAGCTTGTAGACAGTGAATTGTGATTCCCCAGGGTATCCCAGGGGCTTAAATTCTGCCTGGTAATAATATTTATTGAATATGCTGAAAGATTTGTGTGATGCTAGGCAATTTTCATTTTATAAACCAAGGTAATTTAATGAATACTTACATATTGTACATACCTACCTTTGTACCACATGGTAGGAGCTTGTAATCTAACCACAATGGGAAAACTAAACTATTGTGGGGACTACAAGCACGTTAGGAACAAAACTGCTTAACTCTGGTCTTTTCCAGTGGGCTATCTTGAGATTTGCTGAGTTCCTGTCTGTTTTGAGAATCTAGACTTACCTGTATATTGTTGGTATTTTATTTAGTTTTGTAAGTTAAATAGTCCCATCAGTTCTACATTCATGCCAAAAACATGCCAAATCCACTCACTTCTCTTCATCTCCACTGCTACCACTCTGGTCCAATCCACCATCGTTTCTCACATGGACTATTGCCAACAGTCTTTTAACTATTCTCCCTTCTTCCTTTTTTGCCCTCTTCAAAATTGATTCTTCACACCATTGCCAAGGGTATCTTTTCAAAACAGAAATCACATCTTGTCACTCCTTACTTTAAATCCCCCACTGATGTAAACTACAATCCAACAAGGCCCTGTATGAGGTGAGTGGGGATCCCTGCCCAATCCCTCTGACCTCACTATTCCTTCCTCTTCCATCTAGTCACATCAGTCGTCTTTCTATTTCTTGACCACATCAAACTTGTAACTACCTTAGGACCTTTGTGCTTCATTGTTTCCTTTGCCTTCAACACTCTCACCCCTCTCTTTGCATGGCCAACTGCATTCAGGTTGCAGTTCAAACATCACCTCCTCAGAGAGGCCTTCCCTGACTACACAATCTAAAAACCAGCATCCACAATCCCCATCACATAATCTTGTTTCATTGCCTTTAAAGCACTTAGTTCACGTATCTAATTGTTGACTGTCTTCCCCAATCCAGAATCTGGCTTCTGTGAGAGGGATTTTACTCTATAGTGCTTAGAACAGTGTTTGAAATATAGTACATGCTCACTAAACACTTGTTGACTGACTACTGAAATGAAGGACTATTAGTATAAATCTCTACATAAGTGAAAGAAATACTGTCCTGCTATCATCCCCAACATCTTGGGAATTGCAACTCTCTGGCAATTTAGCTAATTTTATCATATCAACAACTCAGGAAATCTACAGGATAAGTATTTATTTTTACCTGAAGTGAATTAGAAGTAATTTTGTTTCAAAATAAGTAAAACTACCTCGGGTACCCCAATGTAGGAATACAGATTTATTATTATAAAAAATGATAGTCTTCATATCTTAATTTATTCATAGATAACAAAAAGTCTTTGCTTCTTCAACATGGGGCTTTCAATCTCATTATGTAATAAAGCACTCAGGACACTGTGCATCTCCCTGATGCTGAGTCAGGAGAAAAGTCTGAAACAGAAGACATGTTGACTACTGTGAGTCAGTGAGATCTTGTGGGTAGGAATTTTTTTAGAGCGGGTATAAAAGTAATGCAGTTTAACAGATCAAGAGCACTCCTACAGGGATAGTTCAATGTTCAAAGAAGACACCATGTACTTGAACTCATCTGTTCCCTTGCAGTACCGCATCTATGAATTTGTATCTTTCTTTTTCTGGATATCTTATCACTTTTATTGCCAAAGCAATATGATAACATGATAAAAAATATGAAAACAAGGTGCTTATAACTCTACCAGACCATCACAACGAGTATAATTTCTGTACTTTTCTCTCTAGTCTTCTCCTTATAGAATATATTTTTACATGGATGTCACAATGAATAAGCCATTTGGTATCCTGCTTGTCTCCCTACACTATACTGTAAACATTTTCCATGTTGCTACATAAACCTTATAGTCCACACTTTCTATAGTTGTATTTAACATTGTATAAGTTAACTGGTTTTTTATCTCCTAACCTCTAGGCTCTTTCCACTTTTTCTCTATTTCAAGTAACTGCTGTAACAAACATCTTTGTGAAAGAAGATGGAATTTATTTCTTTTGGATTATTGCCTTATAATATTAATTTGAAAGAGGAGGAGCACTGAGTCAAAAGATGTTATGATTTTTTTATGGTTCTTGTTTTATAAGACTGTTTGTTACCTTTAACGTGACACTTCTTTGGTCTTTTGGTGAAACTCCCTGAACTGGGTGAACACCCAAGCATGGCAGAACAAATCCATTATACCTAAAAATGTAGAACGAATTAAGAAAGCAGAATATTAGACTAGGAGACAAAGTTACTCTGAGGAACAAGTAGGAAAGAATTTTTTTAGGGCTATGTTAATGTGATTGTTTTTCTTCTCGTTCTCTTTAAAAATTGATGATCTTTGATATTATAAATATGAAATCATAACTGCATCCTTATTAACAACTCTTTCTAAATCTTAATGAGAAGTAACACCTTTCTGAAAGCTGCATAATCTTTTCAAATTCTCCTGAATGTTCAGCAACCACCACAAGAGCCATAACATTGGCCTGCAACAAAAATGAAGAGAATAGTTAGAGTCTCAAACAATATACATCCAATATAATTAAATAAAAATTTAAAGTTTTCTGTGCTTTTAGTTATCCTTGCTCACTCACACTCCATCAGTATAATCATAATAGCTATCACTGAGTAGTTACTATGCTTCAGGTATTATGTTCGGTGAATATAAATATTACCCCCCATTTAATCTACATACTCCTATGACATAGGCATTGCTGTAATCCACTGTATGGATCAAGAGACAGAGTTTTGGATGGAGTCAAATAACTTGCCCAACATCACTAGCCCTGTGTAACTCCAAACCCCATACTCCTAATTAAGCTGCCACAGTGAAAGATGGCTGTATGTAAAAATGGCAACCATTTCTGACTATCAATTTTGGGGAAGATCACAAAATGCTAGCTTCATAAACACTTCCAAAGATTAATAATTTTTTTCCCACACAAATCAAACTGTTTCAGAAAACTTTTATAATTTCTCCAAGATCTCCAGAATAATGTTAATTCAAGAACTGAAAGATGGACCAATTTGTTCCATATTGCTGGTAAGCATGGTGGCTGTGGGAATGTGTTTTGGATTCAGACTATCTTGTCTACATCACTCACTAGTGGTGTGTCTTCGGACAAGTTAATCTCTAGGCCTTAGTTTCCTCATCTATAAAATGGTAATGGTTGGCTATAAAATAGTAGCTTCCTCAGAAGCTTGCTGTGAAACATTAAATGAGATAATGTACAGGATGGGCTTAGCTCAGTGTCTGGCACACAGTAAACAATAAATGCTGTTTATTATTAACTTATTGTTATTGAAGTAACAACAACATCGTATAACTAAATTTCAAGCTGTTTTAGATCAAAATTAGGAGGAAAATAAAAACAACCGAAAAAAGGGCAATTATAGGTATTGGCTTACTTTCTTGGCTTTCTCCAACACATCATCCAGATCCTAAAATAAACATAAGTAATCACAATCATTTTAGATGGATAAGTAAGTGTCCTTTGGCTGTGTATATCAATGTAATTGAGGCACCATAAAGAATGACAATGATGGCAAGGAACAAGGTGGTGGAATGTGAAGAGCCTATGCTGACCCTACCTCCCATCTACTCTCTCAGTAAAATGTGGCTTCTGTTCCCACTCTACTAAAACAGAAACTGTTATTGTCAAATATAAAGGACACTTCTCTGTCCTCCTACTCTACCCCTCAGCAGCATTAGAAACTCCTCACTTGTCCACTCCTTCCTTTTTGAGATATTTTCCACTCTTGGCTTCTGCAAATACTCCTCTCTAGCTGGCTGCTACTTTTCAGTCTCCTTGACTGGCTCTCTCTTCTCTGATTTCAGAACCCTATGCTTCTCTCTCTGACTCACCTTAAGTACTCTTATTACTATGCTCATTATGCTAATGAGTCCCCAGTTTTTATCTCCAGCCTATAACTCTCTCCTGAACCCAAGATTCACATTTTATTTTATTTATTTATTTATTTTAGTGGTACGCGGGCCTCTCACTGTTGTGGCCTCTCCCGTCGCGGAGCACAGGCTCTGGACGTGCAGGCTCAGCGGCCATGGCTCATGGGCCCAGCCGCTCCGCGGCATGTGGGATCTTCCCGGACCAGGGCACGAACCTGCGTCCGCTGCATCGGCAGGCGGACTCTCAACCACTGCGCCACCAGAGTAGCCCCAAGATTCACATTTTTAAATGACCATATGACATCTCCACTTGGATGGATATTAGGTTTCAACATGTGCGGAACATAACCATTTCTCAACAAACCTATTCTTTCTGCCTGCCCTCTCCAGCCTGTTTTCCCTCATCTCAGCACCACCACCTCTCTACAGCATCCTCAAGTTCTCCCTTTCCCTCTCTTTCCTCAATTCCTCTCAGCATGTACTACAGATTCTATCTCTAAAATATACCTTGAATCCATCTGCTTCTCTCAAACTCAACCACTATCTTTAGTCTAAATACTACAAAAGCTTCTAAGCTGGTCTTCTAGCTTCCATTCTTGTTCTCTGTCCATTAACCACACATCAGCAAAATGGTTTTTAAATGGATTATCAGATCTTGTCTCTCTCCTTAAAAAGCAAAGCCCTTTACTAGATCCCCATTGTGCTTCTAATGAAATGCGAACTCCTGACTCACTAAACCTCGGCAAACCTCTTCGGTCTTGTTTTACGCGTCTTTTTAGCTCATCAGGCTCCACCCAGCCTTCCGGTAGCTCGAACGTCCAAATTCTGTCTTGCCTGGAGGACTGCAACCCGCTTGCTTTCCTCACCACCATGCACTCACCTATTTGTCTTTCCAGCACCAATTTAAGCTTCACCTCTTGAGAGGTTTTTCCCCTAAAATAGACCCCGCTCTTCTTTTTTATTAGCCTCTAGTTTCCAATGTAGCGGATAAAACACTTTGAAATTACGTGTGTGTGTGTGCGCGCGGTAGTTTTTGTTTGCTTCGCTCCCCTGTAGAACTGGAGCACGCGGCGTGCGGGAGTGGGCCCGAGTTTCGCGGACGGCGTCCTGGGGAAAGTGGATTCTCTGCCCGGAGCTGAGAGGCTGGTAGGATAGCCGGGCCAAGGCGGGGTAGGGGGAAGGACTCCAGTAGCCAGTAACAGCAAATAAAAGCCAAGTGGAGATAGAGGATACGGATATTCGGAATGAGAAAGAAAAATCAGTGTGAGTGAGATTAAATAAGTCGTAAGGAGCAAGTCGCACAGGACCACAGACGGGGGCCCGGGAGGATTTGGGGCTCCGCCCTAAGGGAGGAGAACAAGGATAGCCTGAAGGGAAAGAATGGGGGCCTCCCTGCTCCCACGGGCCCGACCTCGCCCTCACATACGCGGTCAAAGTCCGGGGCGGAGAGGTGGCAGTGACAGTCCACCAGCCCTACGCCCACCGCCCCCATCGCCGCAGCCACTGATTCCCTCGACTTGCCCGCGGAGCCTCAGGCGGAACGCTGCTGCTGCAGGCCGAGTTTCCGGCCGGACGTATGCTCTTTCCTCCAGGGGAACCCGCTCTTCCGCTCCCAGAGTTCCCGCCCACAATTCAAGTTGGGAAAATGGAGGGGGCTCTTGCGTCGGTGGCCCGTTCTGCTCCGCGGGACGTGGAGAGAGTGGCCGGGACAGACGATGGGGCCCCGGTTCTTGCCACTTCCCGAAAAGACTTCCGGGTGCGTTGCACCTCGAAGCGGGCCGTGACGGAAATGCTAGAATTGTGCGGCCGCTTCGTGCAAAAGCTGGGGGACGCGCTGCCAGAGGAGATTCGGGAGCCCGTGCTGCGAGATGCGCAGTGGGTACGGGCCCAGTCTTGTTTTATCACCCCCTCTCTCCACACCCCAGGTCTCAGTGGTCAGAAAGAGCGCACGCCAGGCTTCGGCAGAGTTAACGGTGCCCCACGCTTGGTTAGAAGCAGCTCGGGACACGGGAGGGAACGAAGTAGATGCTAGAGGCAGCTGGGTATTGTTAATTACTTAGACCAGTGCTGTCCGACAGAAAAATACAAGGCGAGCCATGTATGTAACTTGAAATTAAAAGTAAGAAAAAATAGGTGAAATTAATTTTAATCGTTTTAGCTTATAATAATTAAAAAATGAACGAGATAGTTAAATGAACGAGATAGTTTACATTCTTTTGTTCATACTAAGCTTTTCAAATCTGTCTTAAACTTACAGCTCATCTCCTTTCTTACTAGCCACATTTTAAGGCCTCAGCAGCCATAAAGTGGCTAGTTGCTCCCCTATTGGGCAATGCAGACAGAGACTATGAGAAATTCTCCAGGAGAGGGTAATCCTGGAAGTCAGTCAGTCAGTCACCAGGCTAGCTTTTGGTCTTTCCTTTTGTTTGTTTTAGAACATCTTGTAAAGAGAGCGAGAACTTTTTCCCTACAAGTCTAAAGTCTTGCTTTTATAAACTTCAGTAAGATCACACACGCTGGCCCTTATAATACATTTCCCCTTCCTTTCTTAAATATTTTGCAAAGCCCTGAAGAAGATAGCTTTTTGGGGAAAGACATAACAAATTGGGGGATTTGTGCCTGTCAAAAGGAAGCACACAATCTATTTATATTCAGGAAGAAAAGTTAAAATGCTTATAATGCAGTACAGTTTTGAGTGTGAATGACCACAGTGCAACCAAAATAAAGGGTAAATGGATGAAGAATGAAGGAACACTCCCTGGGTTGTGATTCTGTATTCCAGTGTTGTGTACACTGGCTCTTACATCATTCTCTCCTCGCAAGCAAGGGAAGAATAGAGACATACCTGAGGACATTTTTAGTAGTTTCTTGGGAGAAGACTGTTTTGTTGTGTAATGATCTTAGAGTTTACCCCTTTCTAGGAAGTGCTAAGCTGCTTAGAACATTTAATTATCTTACAAAAAAAAGGAACTTGGCTTAACCTATTATACCTTATTTAATGGATGAGAAAGTGGATTAGAAGATAAAAGGTGTGAAGACTTAAACTACCAAGGGAATTAACTTGTGTTTTACTTTAATTAAGAGAACAGATAAAAGGCAGAGGCTTTAATTATGTTGACATCTCTTTATCTAAAACCACATAATATATAGTATTATCACAGTCTTTTTTTGTGATAGTTATTTTTAAATTTATTTTATTGAAGTATAGTTGATTTACAATGTGTTAATTTCTACTGTACAGCAGTGGTTCAGTTATATATGCATTCTTTTTTTAAAAAAATTTTATTTATTTATTTTTGACTGTGTTGGGTCTTTGTTGCTGTGTGCGGGTTTTCTCTAGTTGTGGCGAGCGGGGGCTGCTCTTCGTTGCAGTGTGCAGGCTTTTTGTTGCGGTGGCTTCTCTTGTTGCAGAGCACAGGCTCTAGGTGAGCAGGCTTCAGTAGTTGCGGCACGCGGACTCTAGAGTGCAGGCTCAGTAGTTGTGGCGCGGGGGCTTAGTTGCTCCGAGGCATGTGGGATCTTCCTGAACCAGGGCTTGAACCCTTGTCCCCTGCATTGGCAGGTGGATTCTTAACCACTGCGCCACCAGGGAAGTCCCTGCTACTTTTTTTAATATTCTCTATCACAAATCTGAAATTGTTATTTTGCCAAAATGTTTGAATTCAGTATTTAAAGTTACTTTCAGTGACTTGACTATTGTGACTTTATTGCAGACTTTTGAATCAGCTGTGCAAGAGAATGTCAGCATTAATGGGCAAGCATGGCAGGAAGCTTCAGACAATTACTTTATGGGTATGTGATTTCGCTTTGTCCCTCTGTCATTCATTTCTGAGTTATTTTTGTGGCTAGTTTTATTTATTAATTTAATTTAATTTTATTTTATTTTTGGTCGTGCTGCGAGGCTTGCAGGGTCTTAGTTCCCCAACCAGGGATCAAACCTGTGCGGAGTCCTAACCACTGGACCCCCAGGGAATTCCCTCTAGTTTTATTTTGAGTGCTAATTCTTAATCCCCATTTTCAGTGTCACTTCTTTTAAAATTCCTTTAGTGGAAGAGTTCCTTTGCTGGAAAAAAGAGAAAAGTAATCTAGAAGACTATTGAGGTCATAAGCTGAGGCAAACACGGTAGTGGTTACTGTGATCCTTTATATTGATATATATACTATCTGGCATTCCCAACAAGACTTTCATCTGGTTAAACTTCAAAAGTACCCTTGTCAATAGCTTATTGGAAAATACTGTAGAACTATCCCCAGATGAAGAAACAGGTCCAGAGAATCCCTATGCTTAATACTTTATAAATCAAGTTGTATTTTTACAAGTGATCCTTTGAGTAGATAGTGAAGTACTCTTAGAAATGTGAAGTTAAACTATAAAAGTACCATGTAAAGGATGAGGTCAGTATTTGTAGAAACCTCCTTGATAAAACAGAATATTTTCCTGGTGTAGAGCAGACTAGATTGTACCCTAACTAATGATGTTGACATATCTAAAGAAAAAGTTTTAATAGAAAGAAAATGGTTAGTGTAGGAAGGAAAAAATGTAGTAGAAAAAGAGTGATCAGTGTGGGAAGAGAGGCAGAACTCTCCAGCAATGTCCAGGAGAAGGGCTGCCCCGATAAGAGGACTGGAGTGTCTTGTTGGTCCCCATAGTAATAGTATGGAGATTTGACCAGCATAGATTGATATCAGTGCTAGCTGTTCAGCTTAACCACTTATACCCTTGAGCTTATTCCAAGCCCATCAGGATACCCTTGAGCTTATTCCAAGCCCATCAAGTCATTCTCTGTGGCTATAATTTTTCTCCTCAACATGAAGATAATTCTTTGCCCAGAAGACTTCACTGTTTAATCCTCGGCATTATTATAGTTGTCTCTTCAAAGTCACCAAAGTTCACTTTCCGGTTTATATATTAAAATGGAAAAAATAACATCAGATTTTCCAAATATTATCAGAGTGATTGACAGTTAGTGGGGGAGGGGCAGTGTATCATAATCACCTCGGAGTATTTTCAAACTACACAGCTTCTACTGTGTGTTCAACTGACTCTTGTTCTTTGAAGTTCACTTTGGAATCGCTTTATTGATTGGTCCAGACTGGCTTCAGCAGTATGATTCATCAGTTTATAGATTACCATGTATTTTCTGACAGGTTGGCAGCCTGGGTAGATGGCTCTGAAGTGTGGATATTCTCTATCCCTTTCCCCCCTTATAACTCTGAGGGGAAATAGTTGAGAATACTACATTTTTACCTTCTTTCATGGGCACTTGATAAATGCCAGACACTGCCAAATTCCAGGAAATAGATGAAAAGATACGGTTCTTACCATTTAGGAACTCATCATTAAGGGAAGGAAATAGACAAAGAATCACTATTACTCTTCAGGAAGTAGGAGAAGATGTAGCAGAGTAGGTTGTTGTTAAAGGAAATGCATTTAATAAGTAAGCGTGTGCTAGACAGAAAGGAGGTAAGAAGGACATTTGAAGCAAGGAGAAAAGCATATGCAAAGGCACAAAGGAGTGATATGTTTGCAAAATGTCAGCAGTGAATTGGGAATACTAATGACAGATGTGGCCAGAAAGATAAGTTGGGACCAGATCACAAGAAACCCTGTAGGATATGCTGAGGAATCTGCACTTTATCCTGCAGGTAATAGGAAGCTGGTGAAGGTTTTTAAAGTAAAATTACAGTAGTCCCTTCTTATCTGAGGGGGATGGGTTCCAGGATGCCCAGTGGATGCCTGAAATCTCAGATACTACCAAACCCTATATCTACTATTTTTTTAAAAAATTTTATTGAAGTATAGTTGATTTACAATGTTGTGTTAATTCTTTCTGTACAGCAAAGTGACTCAGTTATACATATATGTATATTCTTTTTCATATTCTTTTCCATTATGGTTTGTCACAGGATATTGAATATAGTTCCCAGTGCTATACAGTACGACCTTGTTGTTTATCCATCCTATATATATCTATGATAGAGTTTAATTTAGAAATCAGGCACAGCAAGAGATTAACAGCTATAACTAATTATAAGATAGAACAATTATAATAATACGCTATAATGCAAGTTATGTGAATATGATCTCTCTCCCTCATTCTCAGAATATCTTATTGTACAAATTTAATGCCTTTTCCATCTTAACTAAGGACGTATCATGCAATATGGCTGTAACTTTTGCAGTTTGAGGTACGACAACAAAGCTAGTACAGATTTCTTTTTCCTTCTTCACAATTTCATGGATAGAAGATTTATTCTTACTGTCAATCTTAGCAACTTCAGCATAAAATTTTTTTCCTTTATTAAGTTGTGAACTTTCACCTTTTCATTTAACGGAAGCACAGCTTCTCTTTGCCATATTTGAATTGCCAGCATCACTACTCTTGTGCTTTGGGCCCATTATTAAGTATCAATAAAATAAGGGTTACTTGAAAACAAGCACCACGATACTGCAGCAATGGCTACCAAGTCACTAATGGGCAGGATACACTGGACAAAGGGATGATTCATGTCCTGGGTGGGACAGAGCAGGATGTTGCGAAATTTCATCATGCCACTCAGAATGG